CTCTTCATTAGATGAACTTAATGTTGCAGCTGCTGGGTATTTCAAAGAAAAAAGATCCCAGAAAAAATCAGAAGAATTACAAGATCATGATATGGACTTTTTAAAGAGCTTATTACCTGATATTAAATCATTAGATTCCCATAATAAAAGAAAGTTAAAAATTAACATTATGCAATTAGTCGATGATGCTTGTAAAGAGGCATCATACAATCAGAATACAAATGTTCATAATATTCATGACACTCTATCATATTCAAGACAACCTTCACAAGATCAACAACCACTGTCTAATTTTCAACAAAGAGAACTATATTATAACCAACCACCACAGCTATTTTCACATCTTGAACGACCACCTTCATCTTATGACAAAGAACCACCAATCCAACAACAAAGATCTACACACCATAAACATGAAATTGACCCAATGACTCAATATAAACCACCAGCAACGCATGCCCCAATTTGGACTCCTTTATAATGTAACTCATACATTTATGATTTATGTTTAATATATTATTATTAATATATAAACTTGTTAAAATAAAATAAATTAAAAGGTGTTTAATAAAGGTTAATTGTATAAATAAAGTACCTATACAACTTTGATAAAACATTATTGTTTTATGTTATCTTACAATAATTTGTTTAGAAATGTATTGTAGACAGAAGACAATAACCGAGGGGTAAATACCTGACAGAAGTTTTGTACACCAGATTACTGATTTCAATGATTATACCTATGATTACCCATGATTTACTACAAAGATTACCTATGATTACCATCACCTTGTACACTAATTACCCCCAAGGTGTTTACCCCTCGACAATAACTAATAAGACACTACATATAATTATAAAAATACTTTTTTAGAGAAAAAAGTTGTAGGCACTATTTAGTAAGTAATAAACAGATGTGATTGCAGGTACTATTCAAACTTATATACGGATAGGTATCATGAGAGAAAACATTTTCTGATTTTGTTCAGAAATTACCCCCTTTGCAGCCCTTTCAAGTTAGAATGCAACAAGATGACACATTTTGAAACATTAATATTTTTATTCAAATGGTTGAACAATAAAACTATTAAATACTTACCTCAATGTAATCAATAACCGTTCTTCCACAGTAATGGCTTTTCTGAAGTGAGTATCTTTTTTATGTAACATAGGCCGCACTAACTCTGATAAGATTTCAAATGATTTCTGTGTCATTCTATAAAAAGTTTGAAATTTTTCAGGATATAGAGAAAGCTCTTTTGCAACAGAAAAAGTTCCTAGAGTGTCTGCGTTTTTCTTTAGGTATGGATGCACCCAATACTTGCGTTTACGTTTTTGACTATCATTATTATTGTTGTTGTTGTTTAATAACAACAACACCAATAAGTCTTCATCAGTACTTGACATTGGATATTTTAATATTTTAAATATTTACAATTTTAATAGTATTGAAATAAAATAAAGTAAACAAAACAAATATAAAATTTTTTAATCAAAAACACTAATCACTAGGTACTAATCACTGTTATCAAAATAGTAAAAATAGTTAAAAATAAAAATAAAACAGATCGCGCCGCCGCCGCACTGCATAGGTGTGCTTTGGCGCGCTTTTGCGGTGCGGACGCAGTGTTTTTCGCGCGCTACTGCCGCCGCCGCACTGCAACCGCACTGCTTTGGTGTGCGCTCTCCCTAAGTAAACAGTTTACTACTTTACTGTTTACGTTTACCATAGTGCCAACACGCATTACGCATTTACGCACCGTAACGAATAACGATGACTGATCCAAAAATTAAACTCAGCAAGTTTTTGTTTACTAAACAAATATGTATTATCCAATATATAAATTATAATTTATCATTCGACATTCATTATTGTGTTAAAAATGTTTTATAAGTTCTAACTAAACAATGTATTTACTATTTAATTATTTAATGAAAAGCCGTTTTTTAATTTTTTGTATCGACTAGCCGTAATTATTAGGTATCAACTACCTATCATAACATAATTGACAATCAAACATTACAAACATATATTTTTTTTATTTTTTCTATAAACTTTATACTTGATTCGTCTTCATTTTTTAAGAATTATTCAGATAGTCAGATAGGTATATAATATTTTAGTGTAGTGTGTCAAGTGTAGTTTATAGAATCAATTGTTTGAAGTATTAAAATATTTAATTTGTATTCTGATTGATTTGAATTACTTAATTTATTGTACTTCTGTACACAAGTAACTAAATAGACTGATTAACCTGACAAAATTAATTTTGTTTCAATTATATATTATGTTATATATTATATTCTGTAATGATGTGATATACAATCTCAACATAATTTATTGTTTTAAATAATAGAAAGAAAAACCTAAGCTACAGGAAGGCAGTAAAGATGCCGTTAAAAGGAAAATAGATGAAGATATAATAACCAATACCAAAAAAGGAGTTGGTCAATTAAAAACAATAGATGTAAGTACCTAATAAGTTTAAGTAAAGAATAATAATAATAAGTAAAAATAATATAAGCAAAAGTTGGCTTTACAATGTGTTGACTTAAACAGATTGATTAGTAAATTTTATAGTTTATAGCAATTATAGGTAACTCCACTAGGCATTAATGTTTAATTTAATTCATATTTTCATTTGTATTTAATTAATAATCAAATTAATCAATCAGTTTCTATTCATAATATAACTATTATTCTAATTTCAACTGTTTTTCTTATTTTTTGACTATCCTGCCTAACCAATATAGTAACATATTATTAATATATAATTACTGTTTCAGGACAATGTAACACCAAGTATCACAATATCAAAACCAGATATTGGATCATTTATGGGGAAAGGTAACTTAAATGATTTTATTAAAAAATCCATACTTGATGATCATTGGTACCCACCTGAAAACTATATTTTTCCATGTAATGAACAAATTCGTAGTGGTAAAGTTAAAAAACGGTCCCCGTCATTTATGCATTTGAAGCAATTTCATTGGTTAGTGGTGTCTGATATAGTCAAAGGATTGTTTTGTAAACACTGTTTTATATTTGCACTTTCTTCATCATCTAACAATTGCCTTCAAAATCTTGTTACAAAACCACTTCTAAAATTTTCCAAATTAACTGGCAAAGACGGTATTCTTAGGGCCAGTTGTACAGTCTGTGATTAAAGTTAATCACAGTTTAACCGTCCGAATTTGGCCGGTTAAATATCTGTTATCAGCTGATTAAGCGTAATCGGAGTTTAATCACAGACTGTACAACTGGCCCTTAGTGTTCATAATGATAACAAATATCACATAAATGCTGTATTAGCTGGAAAAGACTTTTTGAAAACTTATTCTTGTCCTAAAAACAAAGTAATCAATCAAATTTCTACTCAACGACTTGAACAAGTTAAAGAAAATCGTGAACGACTCCGCCGGTCATCGAAACTTTGATTTTTTGTGGACAACAGAATATACCATTGAGAGGACATAGAGACGACGGTAGACTCATTGATACTGGTAACTCTGAAAGTTCCCCTACTTCTAACGAAGGTAATTTTAGAGAATTGCTGCGATTAAGAATACGTTCTGGTGATGTAAATTTAAAAAAACATTTGGAAAATACTTCCTCTCGAGCCACTTACATAGGAAAGAATATTCAGAATGAGCTCTTGGACTGCATCGGAAGTGTCATTAAATCTCAAATTCTTAAAAACGTTCAGAATTCTGGTGTCTATTCAATCATGTTTGATGAAACAACAGATGTATCTTGTATTGAACAACTTAGCTTGACTTTGAGATATGTCATTAATAATGAAGTACATGAAGATTTTGTGTGTTTTGTGGATGCTTATAGATCCATAAGGTCAACAGATATATCAGGTTCTGGAGAAATCAAACTTACTGGACAGGCTCTTGGTCACATTGTTTTAGATATTTTAACTAAAGATTTGGCACTTGATTTAAAATGTTGTGTTGGAGTAGCCACGGATGGTTGTGCTGTAATGGTGTCTGAAGATTATGGAGCAGTTACTACAGTAAAAAAAGAGTGTCCTATTGCAGTTTACTGTCCTTGCTTTAACCATGCATTGAATAATTCATTGGCACAGACCTCTAAAATTGTACCCATAAGAAATACAATAGGAACTCTAAAAGAAATAATTGCATTTTTTAATGCATCGGCAAAAAGGCATTTGGTATTAGAGAANGTAGGTAAGGGAACCAGCTTAACAACGGGTCGGGTTATGCATCCTGTACTAGTTAACACTTTTGCAACACGGATGACACCGTCGTCCCCAGGTAATACCTCCATAACACGACCAAGTCGCCACATCAATGGAGCACTGTTATTTTCAATGATTACCACCATATCGTTGACGCGTATATTAGGGACATTGCGAGTCCATTTTGGTCGCTCCTGAAGCGTGGTCAGATATTCGGCTGACCATCGCCGCCAAAAGGCCTGGTGACATTGATCTAGTAATTTCCATCTATCCCGGAGATTCCGTATCGCGTCGGGGGTAGATCGCGGCGGTACAGCTAATAGCGGCTGGCCGATTAAAAAATGCCCCGGCGTCAAACACTCTAATGCCGGGTCCACACAGAGACGACAAAAGTAAAACAAAACAGAAACTCTGTGTTTTTCGACAAAATCAAAACATTTTCAAAACAATTGTGTTTTTCCCAACAAATTGTTCGTGTTTTTAAAAACAAAGTCATGTCCCGAGCGGTGTCGGTAAACATCAAAAGGTTTTTGTTTTGTTGTTGTTTTGGAGAATATTGTCAATCGTGTGTGGACAATGTTTTAAAAATAACCAACAGTCAAAAATAATATTTCGTTTATATTAATATTATTATAGTGTGATAGTGCGATTTAGGCATTTAGTACCACTTAGTTTGTTGTGCAGTGTAGTTCAGTTCAATTATTTATTTTATAATTTCCATATTTTCATACTTGGGTATAATATTTATATAATAATTTATAATTCATATTTCATATTATAATAATTACAATGAATACGAAAAAAAAATGGAATGTAGATGACACGTGCAAGCTTATAGAGCTGTACCGGGAATCACCCATATTGTGGGATGCAACTAATTTGAACTACAAAAATAAATTCAAGAAAGCAGACGCATTAAAAGAAATTGGTATGCAACTAAGTACAGATGCCAATGAAATTGATCGGAAATTGAAAAATGTGTATTCACAATACTCCAGGGAGAGACGTGCATATAAGGCCATGAAAAAATCTGGAGCGGGAAGAGATTTCCGTGCAAAGTGGTTCGGGTACGACTTGATGAGTTTTCTTCAAGACAAGAATAAACCAAGGAAATCTCGAGAAGCTGGTTTAACTGAAGGAAGTCAGGTAAAAATAATGTTCTTTTCAACTATAAGTTATAATATCTTTGGTGTATGCCATATGGTATGAATGTCTTAAGTTAAAGGTAAAATAAGTAGTCGAAATAATGATTTGATTTTCAACTTCAGTATCTTGTTCGATGGGAAAGTGAATCTAGTTGGTGCATTNTATGAGATTTCATTCAACGAAAACAGAAAACTGTTCATCCTGAAAAATCAAGTTTTTGGCAATAGTACGTTTTGGAATGTCACCAATTATTTATGAATTATGTTTTTCAATATTCTTATGTCCAATAAAGTTGTCTTTTATGTTATGTTGATTAATTATGGGTCGGCGTAAAAGCGACACCGCCTACAACTTCTGAAGTGGGATTAACGCAATCCAACCGGATGAAAACTGCGGAGCCGTACACATGGACGACCACGATATCGCTGTCGATGGCAACAGTGTTCACGAAGCTATCATGACACCTGCAATTGTTACACCACCCGCGAGTTGCGAAGGTTCCACACGGAAATATTATCAACTTTACCAGTTAGTGTTGCCTCCGCTGAAAGGAGTTTCTCCACACTTCGGAGACTTAAAACCTGGCTTCGCTCAAGTATGAGTGAAGATAGACTATCAGCATTATGCCTACTTAATATTTATAATAAAATAAATATTCTAGATCAAATAGATAATATTATTGATATTTTTGCAAATTTAAAAAATAGACGTCTTGAATTTGTGTTGTAAAAATTGTTGTTTTCTTTTTGTTATAAGATTTTGTGAAATTATAACTTGGCCCCCCCCCTAACCTAGGCTCTGGAGCCGCCCCTGACTTGGTTAGGGTCTGATAGTGGTAGAGGGCCTAATGAAATAACATCTTTATTAATTAAATTTATTTTCTGACTCGTGCTCAGCACAAAATAAAAATCAATATGTGATGGCAGCTTTACTTCACTATATTAATTACAAAACAATTCACTTCACAGAAATAAAACATTACTTTCCTGTTCGTGGCCATAGCTATATGCCACCAGACCAAGTTTTTGGTCGTATTAAGAAGTCATTACGAAATAAGGAAGTTACAGTTTCCCCAAACACTTATCATGAACATTTTAAAAAATGGACTACTGTTAATATATATGATTGTAACTTCAAATTTTTTAATTACAAAATTGTTGTAAAAGACCTAATAAAAACCAATATTTTCAAAACTACCCAACAAAAAGTGTTTTCATATAAATCTGGGATGAAAACTGTTGGAGTTTCGGCAACATACACAAATAATATTACTCGTAAGCAAGTAGTAAAAAAAA